TCTGGAAGGTCTCTGTTAACTACTATTGAAGCCTAGCTTGAAGGATTTGAGGTATAACCTAACTAGTTGTGAAATGAGCACAACTGTATGATTGAACATTCTTTGACATTGCCTTACTTTGAAATTGGAATGAAAACTGACCTTTTCAGGCCTGTGGCCAGTGTTGAGTCTTCCAAATCTGCTGGCATATTGAGTGCAGCACTTTAATGATGCCATATTTTAGGATTTGAAATAGCTCAGCTGGAACTCCACCAGCTTTATTTGTAGTGATGCTTCATAAGGCCTGCTTGACTTTGCACTCCAGGATGTCTGGCTTTAGGTGAGTGATCACACCATCATGGTTATCTGGGTCATTATGACTTTTTTTTCCCAGTAGTCATGTACTGATATGAAAGTTGGACCATAGAGAAGGTTGAGCACTGAAGAATGGATGCTTTTGAATTGTGTTGCTGGAGAAGACTCTTAAGAGTCCCTTGCCCAGCAAGGAGATCAAACCCATCAATCCTAAAGGAAGTCAACCCTGAATATTCATTGGAATGACTGATGCTGAAGCTCTAATACTTTGGTCGCCTGATGCAAAGAGTGGACTCATTGGGAAAGACCCTGATGCTGGGAAAGACTGAGGGCAAGAGGAGAAGGGGGCAAAAGAGGATGAGATGGTTGGATGGCCTTACTTACTCAGTGGACATGAGTCTGAGCAAACTCTGGGAGATAGTGAAGGACAGGGAAGCCTGGCATGCTGCAGTTTATGGTGTCACAAAGAGTTGGACATGACTTAGCTACTGAACAACAAAAAAGAATTTTTTGTGTAGTTCTTCTGTGTATTCTTGTCACCTCTTCTTAATCTCTTGTGCTTCTGTTAGATCCATACAACTTCTGTCTTTTATTGTGCCTGTCTTTGCATGAAATATTCTCTTGATCTCTCCAGTTTTCTTGAAGAGATCTCTAGTCTGTCCCACTTTATTGTTTTCCTCTATTTCTTTGCACTGTTCACTTAAGAAGGCTTTCTTATCTCCCCTCTGGAAATCTGCATTCAGTTGGGTATATCTGCCCCTTTCTCCGTTGCCTTTTGCTTCTCTTCTTTTCTCAGTTATTTGTAAGGCCTCTTCAGACCACCACTTTGCCTTCTTGTGTTTCTTTTTCTTTGGGATGGTTTTGGTCACCACCTCCTATACAGTTATGAACTTCCATCCATAGTTCTTCACATTCTCTGTCTATCAGATCTAATCCCTTGAATGTATTTGTCACCTCCACTGTTTAATAATAAGGATTTTGATTTAGGTCATACCTGAATGGTCTTGTGGTTTTCTTTACTTTTTTAAATTTAAACCTGAATTTTGTAATAAGGAGTTCATGATCTGAGCCACAGTCATCTCCAGGTCTTGTTTTTTTTTTTTTTGTTTGACTTTAGAGAGCTTTTCCATCTTCAGCTGCCAAGAATATAATCAGTTAGATTTTGGCATGACCGCCTGGTGATGTTCATATTTAGAGTCATCTCCTGTGTTCTTGGAAGAGGGTGTTTGCTTGACCAGTGTGATGTTCTCTTGGAAAAATTCTGTTAGCCTTTTCCCTACTTCTTTTTGTGCTCCAAGGTCAAACTTGCCTGTTACTCCAGGTATCTCTTGACTTTCTACTTTTGCATTCCAGTTCCCTATGATGAAAAGGACATCTTTATTGGTGTTAGTTCTAGAAGGTCCTATAGGTCTTCAGCCATTCAACATCGGCCTTTTTGGCATTAATTGTTGAGGCATAGACTTGGATTACTGTGATGTTGAATTGTTTGCCTTAGAGATGAACTGAAATCATTCTGCTTTTTTTTTTTGGAGATTGCACCCAAGTACTGCATTTCAGATGCTTTCATTGAGTATGAGGGCTACTCCATTTAGTCTAAGAAATTCTTGCCCACAGTAGTAGATATAATAGTCATCTGATTTAAATTTGCCCATTCCCATCCATTTTAGTTCACTGATTCCTAATAAGTTGATGTTCACTCTTGCTGTCTCTTTGCTGACCACTTGATTATTGGACCCAACATTCCAGGTTCCTATGCAATATTGTTCTTTACAGCATCAGTAAAAAGGGAGTAAATAGGCCGACTTTGTCTCCTGTAAACATGTTAAGGTAATAGTCATGGCAACAATCAACAAACAAAGAGGGGCAAACTGTGTTTGAGTAAAGAATTGAGGGATCTCGACTCCTTTCTGGGACATGTGAGAGACTACTCATGTGCAGAAAGTTTCCTTGTGGGTCAAAATCAGGGAATAATGCCAGGCCATAATGGCTGTTGCTCTTCCCAGAAACCTTCACTTCGAGATCCAGCTTGGCTGAGGGGGGTGGGTGCACACCCAGGGGAGGGTCCTGAGACAAATTAGCCTGGGAGGGAGCTGTGGGCAAAGCAAGATGACTAGCTTGAAGGAAGACAAAGATCTGAAACACTGCTGCCCCTTGTAGCTCAGTTCTTAAAGAATCTGCCTACAATATAGGAGACCCGGGTTTGATTCCTGGGTTGGAAGGATCCTCTGGAGAAGGAAATGGCAACGCACTCCAGTATTCTTGCCTGGGAAATCCCGTGGACAGAGGAGCCTGGCGGGCTAGAGTCCATGGGGTCCCAAGCATTGGACATGACTTAATGACTAAACCACCAAGCGTCCCAGACGTGGGATTCTCTTTCTAGTTCGCCATTGTGTCTTTCCATATGTACTTTTCTTTTTCAACACACTTTTCAGTTTTACCTTTTGCCTCCTCGTCTGAATTCTTTCTTGACTTAGCAGGCAAGGACCAGGGCTGTCCAGTGGCAGTCCTCTCCTACCCCTGAAAGGTTTGGAAAAACACTAGCATGGCCCCCAGCTGACAAGGCACCACTCCACGATGACCCAGCTCCCCTAAAAGGCCCGCTGGAGAGAGCCCAGCATGGCCAGCACCCACCCAGGCCCTGGCCCCCTTCTTGGAGCTGTCCCTGAGCAGGATCCTCCTCCGCCCTTGGGGAGTGTTCAGTCTCCTCGGTCCCCGGTGTCTCTGAGGACGGAGTCCTGGCTCCATCCTACACCCAGGCCAGCCGGCGGACACAGCGACCTCATCGCATGCGGGTGGCCACCCTTCCTGGTCCCTCTCTGGAGCCTGGGGGCCCCTCCCGCTTTTCCTGTGACACAGCCAACACCTTTGTGCAGCCCAGGCTGAGCGCAGTGTCCCCAGCGCCCTCTGAGGTCCTCCTCACTGACCAGTGCGTCCTGAGCACTGAACCAGGTCTGGGTGCTCCCTTTGACACCCCTCCCTCAGCTGCCCCTCCTGGCCTGCCTTCACTGGTGTCCCCTCCTGCTCTTGGTTTCCTGCACCAAGTCACCTGTCTGGGGCAGAATTGTGACCCCAAATTCACATCTTGCAGCCCTGACCCCCAGACCTCAAGCATCACTGCATTTGGAGGTGGGGTCTCTAAAGAGGTGATGAGGGTGAACTGGGATCCCAGGGTGGGCCCTCATCCAGTCTGACTGGAGATCCTCTAAGAGGAGGTGAGGGCAGAGACAGGTACAGAGGGGCACCCATGTGAAGACACAGCATCTGCACCCCATGGAGACAGGCCTCAGGAGGAGCCAGCCCTGTGCTCCTGGATCTAGGGTCCCAGGCTCCAGGGTGTGGTCCAAGCCCCCTGTGGTGTTTGTTACAGCCTCTTGTGCTGACCACCCAACATGGGGCACTTGTCTGTGGCTCCCCTGGTGCAAGGCTGGCCTCTGCCTATGAGGGGGAGTGGGAGCCCTAGAGGTGGCTAGGGGGTGGGAATGAGGCACCCCAGGGTCAGGTAGGGATAGGGAACAGGGACTCTAGGTGCAGTTGGAAGGGGGGCAGGAAGCCTAGGGGCCAGTGGGGGTGGGGCGGCCAGGCTGTGGACTCCACAAAAGGAGAAGGTATGTCAACAAACAGAGACTGGCCAGTGGGCTAGGTGAAGTAAAGATGCTTTATTGTCATTAAACAGATAAAGAGACAGCAAAGAGAAAGAACAGGTCCGCACATTATACAGAAGAAGCTTCCCAAGCTCTGAGGCTGTGGTCCTTCCTTCCAGTCCTAGGGGCAGCGCCTCCCATCCAGAGACACCCCTGCACATTTCTGCAATGACGGGAGAGTCTGTACTGGGAGGCGAGGCAGGGCTCTGGGGCCTGGGGCTGGGCCTTTGTGGGTCTCTGGTCTCGCCTCTCACCCCCGCCCTCGGTGCAGGCTGAGCTCCTGCGGGACGTGTCAGGCTGTTGGCCGCGGGATGGACTGGCTGCCCTGCCGTCCTATATTCTGGGAGCCCCTCCAGCTCTGTCCACTGGGATCGGTCACCAGGCCCCTTTCCAGGCGGTCCGGCTGGCTGGACGTCACCCCTTTCCCCACCAGGGCTCCTGCAGCAGCGTCCTCGGTGGAGGTGACCTGAGTAACCATTAATGGTCCTCACAGGAGCTTCCCTGCTGGGAGGCTGGGCCCCCGTAGGACAGCTGTTTCCAAGGATCTGACACAGGGCCCTCCCCCAGGGACCTATGGTCTAAATCCCGACCTGGACAAGATGCAGGGACTGGGCCCTGGGCATACGGTGTGGGATCCCAGCTTCCTTCTTCAGAGACCCTGTGGTCTGGATCCCGGCCTGGACAAGATACATGGCATGGGAGGAGGTGCCCTGTGCAGATAGCCCTGGACCTAGCCTCCTACTCCTCCAAGCAGAACTGAACTCTGACCTGTGTGTTCCTGGTGGGGGACTAGCAGCCCATTGATGTTTTGCAGTCTTCCCAGAGGCCCTGAGCATCCATCAGCTGGGGTAGGGTCATCGCCTGCTATCCATTTGGGTCTTCAGGGGCGGGGGCAGGTTTTGGTGACCGTGAGGCCTGCGGGTAGAGATGCGGCGAGGCTGGCCAAGAGGTCAGAGGTCGCTGGGTCAGAGTGCGAAGGAGCACGTCTGGTGCAGGTTGAGGCTCGAAATAATGGACGCTGTCCAGTCGGGTCTGGGGCGGCCCTGGACTCTGTTCACAGGAGCTCTAGGCGCCCTGTCCAATCATGTTTCTGTAGTCAGGGACAATAGTCCTCTTCAGCTCCACCACTGATGAGAAGATCCACTTCACCTGGGGTGGGGGGACAGGGTGAGCAGACTGGACCCCACATGGACCTCCCCCAGGGGCAGTGATGAAATAGCAAGGGGACAGTGAGTGGAGAGTGAGGGGACGGGGAGTGGACACAGAGTGAGAGTAATGGACAATGAGTGGATAGTGAGGGACAGCAACAGGACAGACTGAACAGTGAGGGAGAGGGAGGGAGAGGGAGGGAGAGGGAGGGAGAGGGAGGGAGAAGGAGGGAGAGAGAGGGAGAGAGAGGGAGAGTGAGGGAGAGTGAGGGAGAGAGAGGGAGAGAGAGGGAGAGTGAGGAGACTGAGGGAGAGAGAGAGAGAGTGAGGAGAGTGAGGGAAAGAGAGGGAGAGAGAGGGAGAGTGAGGAGACTGAGGGAGAGTGAGGGAGAGAGAGGGAGAGAGAGAGAGAGAGTGAGGGAGAGAGAGAGAGAGAGAGTGAGAGAGAGGGGGAGTGAGGGAGAGAGAGGGAGAGTGAGGGAGAGAGAGGGAGAGTGAGGAGAGTGAGGGAGAGAGAGAGAGAGAGTGAGGGTGAGTGAGGAGAGTGAGGAGAGAGAGGGAGAGAGAGGGAGAGAGAGGGAGAGTGAGGAGAGTGAGGAGAGAGAGGGAGAGAGAGGGAGAGAGAGGGAGAGTGAGGAGAGTGAGGAGAGAGAGGGAGAGAGAGGGGGAGTGAGGGAGAGAGAGGGAGAGAGAGGGAGAGAGAGGGAGAGTGAGGAGACTGAGGGAGAGAGAGGGAGAGTGAGGAGAGTGAGGGAAAGAGAGGGAGAGAGAGGGAGAGAGAGGGAGAGTGAGGGAGAGAGAGGGAGAGTGAGGAGAGTGAGGGAGAGAGAGGGAGAGAGAGGGAGAGTGAGGAGAGTGAGGGAGAGAGAGGGAGAGAGAGGGAGAGTGAGGAGAGTGAGGGAGAGAGAGAGAGAGAGAGTGAGGGTGAGTGAGGAGAGTGAGGAGAGAGAGGGAGAGAGAGGGAGAGAGAGGGAGAGTGAGGAGAGTGAGGAGAGAGAGGGAGAGAGAGGGGAGTGAGGGAGAGAGAGGGAGAGAGAGGGGGAGTGAGGGAGAGAGAGGGAGAGAGAGGGAGAGTGAGGGAGAGTGAGGGAGAGAGAGGGAGAGAGAGGAGAGTGAGGGAGAGTGAGGGAGAGAGAGGGAGAGTGAGGAGAGTGAGGGAGAGAGAGAGAGAGAGTGAGGGTGAGTGAGGAGAGTGAGGAGAGAGAGGGAGAGAGAGGGAGAGAGAGGGAGAGTGAGGAGAGTGAGGAGAGAGAGGGAGAGAGAGGGGGAGTGAGGGAGAGAGAGGGAGAGAGAGGGAGAGAGAGGGAGAGTGAGGAGAGTGAGGGAGAGAGAGGGAGAGAGAGGGAGAGTGAGGGAGAGAGAGAGAGAGAGTGAGGGTGAGTGAGGAGAGTGAGGAGAGAGAGGGAGAGAGAGGGAGAGAGAGGGAGAGTGAGGGAGAGTGAGGGAGAGTGAGGGAGAGAGAGGAGAGTGAGGAGAGTGAGGGAGAGAGAGAGAGAGAGTGAGGGTGAGTGAGGAGAGTGAGGAGAGAGAGGGAGAGAGAGGGAGAGAGAGGGAGAGTGAGGGAGGAGTGAGGAGAGAGAGGGAGAGAGAGGGAGAGTGAGGAGAGTGAGGGAGAGAGAGGGAGAGTGAGGAGAGTGAGGAGAGTGAGGAGAGAGAGGGAGAGAGAGGGAGAGAGAGGGAGAGAGAGGGAGAGAGAGGGAGAGAGAGGGAGAGAGAGGGAGAGAGAGAGAGAGAGAGGGAGAGAGAGGGGGAGTGAGGGAGAGTGAGGGAGAGAGAGGGAGAGAGAGGGAGAGTGAGGAGACTGAGGGAAAGAGAGGGGGAGTGAGGGAGAGAGAGGGAGAGAGAGGGAGAGTGAGGGAGAGTGAGGGAGTGAGGGAGAGAGAGGGTGAGAGAGAGAGAGTGAGGAGAGTGAGGAGAGAGAGGGAGAGTGAGGGAAGAGAGGGAGAGAGAGGGAGAGTGAGGAGACTGAGGGAGAGTGAGGGAGAGAGAGGGAGAGTGAGGAGAGTGAGGGAGAGAGAGAGAGAGTGAGGGTGAGTGAGGAGAGTGAGGAGAGAGAGGGAGAGAGAGGGAGAGTGAGGAGAGAGAGGGAGAGAGAGGGAGAGTGAGGGAGAGTGAGGGAGAGAGAGGGAGAGAGAGGGAGAGAGAGGGAGAGTGAGGAGAGAGAGGGAGAGAGAGGGAGAGTGAGGAGAGTGAGGGAGAGAGAGGGAGAGTGAGGAGAGTGAGGAGACTGAGGGAGAGAGAGAGAGAGTGAGGAGAGTGAGGGAAAGAGAGGGAGAGAGAGGGAGAGTGAGGAGACTGAGGGAGAGAGAGGGGGAGTGAGGGAGAGAGAGGGAGAGAGAGGGAGAGTGAGGGAGAGTGAGGGAAAGAGAGGGAGAGAGAGGGAGAGTGAGGAGACTGAGGGAGAGTGAGGGAGAGAGAGGGAGAGTGAGGAGAGAGAGGGAGAGAGAGGGAGAGAGAGGGAGAGTGAGGAGAGAGAGAGAGAGAGTGAGGGAGAGAGAGGGAGAGAGAGGAGAGTGAGGAGAGTGAGGAGAGAGAGAGAGAGAGTGAGGGTGAGTGAGGAGAGTGAGGAGACTGAGGGAGAGAGAGGGAGAGAGAGGGAGAGTGAGGGAGAGTGAGGGAGAGAGAGGGAGAGAGAGGGAGAGAGAGGGAGAGTGAGGAGAGAGAGGGAGAGAGAGGGTGCGTGAGGGAGAGTGAGTGACAGTGATGGATGGAGAGGGAGAGTGAGGGAGAGTGAGGGAAAGTAGGGACACTGGAGGATAGTATGGTCACTGAGGGGACAGTGAGGAGACCGTGAAGTGACAGGGAGTTGACTTATACAGGACACTCGGGGACAGTATGGTCACTGAGGGAACAGTGAGGGGACAGTGAGGAGAGTGAAGGGACAGTAGGTACTCTGTTGGACACTATGGTCAGTGAGTAGACAGTATGGTCAGTGAGGGGACAGTTTAAGTACAGTGATGGACAGTGATGGGATGCTGACATTGATAGGGGCAAGATGAATGGACAGAATAAGTGATTAAATAGTTAATTTGACTAGGGGATTATAAATAGAAAAATACAGGAAACTCCTCTAAATTAATGATTACTCGAGAAAGCATGTTGGTGTAACCAAGACTGAGCAGTCTTTCTTAGCAACAAAACTGTACCACAGAAGCCCAGGATATGCTCCAAAACAGTGAAGCAATTATGGTGTGAGACCCACATCCTGCCCAGTGAGCTCAGGGAGCTAATGACCCCTGAGTTAAAGCAGGCTCTGTGCACACAAAAAGCGATCATTTATGGGAAGGTGACTTTCAAAATGAAAGACCCTCATTGTACTGAGACCCAAAATATTTTCCGGAGTCTACGACAGTCCTGACTTGACCATCTAGGGAGGGAAAAGTAAACTCCTCTACCCTACCTTGGGGAGGAACTGATGACCAAATATGACTTTTACTCAAGAGAGACCAAGAAGGTGTTTTCCTTTCCCCACTTCTTCGATGGAAAACGGTGTCCACGAAGTTCTCAGGGAGCAGCACTGCTCCACCACTGCTCGTGAGTGTCACAAGCCTCCTAGTCTAAAAAATCATTTCTCATCTACCACTTTACCCTTGCTGAATTCTCCCCGTCGATTTGAGGGACTGTGTATGGTACAGAAGCTCTTCAGATGCCCTCTGAAATGACCCCAATCTGTTTAAAGGTGACAGCAATGGGAAAGCGAACAGACAGAGAGGGACAGTGAGAGGCAGTGAGGGATGGGGAGGGACACTGAGGGGACCCTGGGGTCAGACAGGGGGCCCGAGGGCCCAGTGGGGTGTCCCCCCACCTTGAAGAGGGTCACGGTGGCGCTGTAGCAGACGCTGAGCAGGAAGAGCGTGATGAAGATGGAGATGGTCGTCCAGAGCCCGTCCAGCTCCCCGTCCTGGGTGTCCGCACAGCTCTCCTCCTCCAGGCGCAGGTCTGCACAGGGAGGGGTGGTCAGTGCTGTCTCTGCCCACGGGGGGCTGGGCAGGGTCATCGGGGCCTCGGGGCAGGGCTCCCTCTGGGGGGAAGGCGGCGTGATCCCCCATGAGCTGGGCAGGGGTCACCTGAGGTCAGTCTCTGGGCCCCAGCCCCAGCCCCTACCCCTCCAGCCCTGGCCGCTGTCTGGGCCTGGCCTGTGGGGTCCTGCTCCCACCCTGAGCTGCGCCCTGACCTGGGGCCCAGATCCCACCTCCCCGCAGGACAGAGGCTCAGTTCCCGGCCTTCTCTGCCCTGGGGGCCAGGCCTGGAGCCAGGAGGGTCAGCAGAACTGGGAGGGTCAGCAGAGCGCATGTGCCTGGGCCCTGGCCCTGGGGAGGGAGGGCAGACAGCGCCGGGCTGTGTCCCTGTGCCCGAGGGTGAGGGTGCCGGGATGAGGGGCTGAGGGGGGATCTCAGCCTGTGAGGGAGGGGCGTGGGTGCCCCAGGGGAGGCGAGGGACGGATGTCTGATCTGGTCAGTGTGGTCAGTGTGGGGAAGGGCTGCTGAGAAGCCCATGGGCGCTGGAGGGTGGGGACCAGCTGGTGTCCACTGTGAGGGCTCACGGGAACCAGCTCTGGGTCTGGCCTGTGGGGTCACCCCATGGGTCCTTAAGTGTGAGGCCTGAGTGTGTGCAGAGGTCGTGGGTGTGTGACGGGGGTGAACTGTGCTCAGGTGGGCACCTGAGTGTGTGTGGAGGAGGCTGGGTGTGGCTGTCTTGTGTGTGTGCGGGGCTCTGGGCTCAGAGGCTGCAGGGAGCAGGTAGGTCCCTGCCCTGGACGTTCAGGATTCCGGCTGGGGCCCCTTTCAGACACAGGGATGACATCCCCATGAGCGCACAGGCCTGGCCCCGGGCAGGGAGAGCTGGGCAGAGCCTCCTGGGCGGGGGAGAGCGAGGCCTGACCTCGGGAGCCTGAGGGTGATACAGGGCCACCCCCGGGCACGCCTGGCTCCCAGGCAGGCCCAGAGTGGACACATGGACGCTGGACACCCAGGGACAGGGGCCTGGGGACAAGGATGCGGCCCTGCCCCACAGCATGGGCTGGAGCAGAGGTGGGAAGCATTGGGCCTCAATCCCTGAGGGTCTCGGGGGCTTCCCCCATTCCTGTCCAGAGTCCGGCCCGGCAGGTGGTGGCTGGAGGGGGCCATGGAGCTGTGCCTCTGGCCAATCTCCTCCGCGGCCTCGGGCAGCCCCCAGGTGGCCTGCTGCACCCACTCACTGTGTGTCTGGCCTTGGGGGTTGGGAATCAGATCCCCCAAAATGGTGAACAAAGTGGCCCAGAGTCTGCCCAGCCGCCCCCCGCAGGCCTGGCGGTCACCAGGGCTCTGCCTCGGAAAGAACCAGCACAGCGTTGCAGGGTCCCAGGGCGGCGCTGGGTGCTTTATTCACGGCGGCCCAGGAGGAATGCACACAGGGAGGGGCTGGGGGTCCTGGCTGGACCTGGAGCCCGGGGGGGTGGGGTGGGCGAGGGCTTGCCGGTGCAGGGACGTGTGGCTCAATTACCCGGAGACTTAGAGATGGACTTCTGTGTGTAGTGATTGTGCAGAGCCTCATGCATCACTATACACGTGTAGCTGTCTCCTTCTAGCCAGCTGCTCTTGTTCACCCTGAGCCTGCTGTACAGGAAGTAGGAGCCGTCGGCGTCCAGCTGGGGTGGGGTCGTGCTGTACTTGCCCTCCGACTCAGGCTGCCGGTCTCTCTGCCACTCCACGGCGATGTAGTCTGGGTAGAAGCCGGTGATCAGGCAGGTGAGGCTGACCGTGCTTTTGCTGAGCTCTTCCCGGGGTGGGGCCAGGACGTACACCTGTGGCTCCAGGGCCTGCCCTGTGGGGACAGGAAAGGCTGTTAGCACAGCGGTCACTCTGATTGGCCCACAGGACCCTCCTAGGCCCGTCCACCTGGCCCACCTTTGGTCCTGGAGATGGTCCTCACGATGGGGGCCGGGAGGCCTTCGTTGTTAACCTTGCACTTGAACTCCTTTCCCTGACTCCAGTCATCATGTTGGATGGGCAGGGCGCTGACCACACGGTAGGTGCTGTTGAACTGCTCCTCTTTCGGCTTTGTCCTGGCCGTGTGCACCTCCACGTCATTCACGAACCAGGAGAACTTGACCTCGGGGTCATCCTGGCCCACGTCCACCACCACACACGTGACCTCAGGCTTTCCAGTGATCATCAGGGTGTCCTTGGGTTTTGGGGGGAAGATGAAGACAGATGGTCCACTCACGCCTAGTGGCAGAGACATGGCAGGGGATTAGTATCGGAGTTTCACTTATTTCAGGCAGCCATCCCCCTCGACCCCCACACCCTGAGTCTGCCTGGGTGCTGTCCACATCCGTAGGATGGAGAATAAGGTTTTCCGACTTACAAGGCTGTTTAGGACACTTGGAGTTGCTACTGGGGACTCCTGCAGAGAAAGCAGACTGGGGGTTACCAGGAGCAGGAAGCCAGGGGCTGGGCTTAGGGCAGGGGAGGATTTTGGCAGGTCTGAGCCCAGGGCCCGCCTCTGTGGGTCCAGGCGGGTGGACGTTGTCCAGCCTGTGGCCACCCTGGATGTGGTGGAAACTCCAGACTACCCCCTCCCCAAGCCTGAAGACTTTCAGGAGAGGAAGATGGACAGGCCTCCCCTGACACGAGGGGCCTGGTCCACGTTATCCCTGGGGTGGGATCCTTGCAGGCAGGGGGGCTGACCCTGATCTCCTGGAGTGGAACCCTCCCCAGGGCCCGTCATCTCACCAACATGCTTGTCCACCTTGGTGCTGCTGGCCGGGTGGGCTACGTTGCAGCTGAAGGTCTGGGATCCTGAGGTGCTGGCGGGCACGGTCACGATGCTGCTGAGAGAGTAGAGCCCGGAGGACTGCCGGACAGCCGGGAAGGTGCGTACACCGCTGGTCAGGGCACCTGAGTTCCAGGTCACGGTCACCGGCTCGGGCATGTAACTGGAGACCAGGCAGCCTAGGGTCACGGTGGAGCTGGACGTGTCCCCGCAGCAAGAACCCAGAGGGTAGACTTTCGGGGCTGTGGTGGAGGCTGTGAGAGAGGAGGCTGGGTGAATGCTGGGTCCGGCAGGACCTCAGGTGCCCAGGCCTGGGGCACGGCTGAGACCAGCCACCGTGTGCTTCCAGAGTCTGATGACCGGCCGGCGTGGTCTGGCCGCCCTGCTCTGTGCGCGGCAGCTGGGGTGTCTGGACACAGCTGGGCTCGGTGAGTGTGGGCTCCTGGATCAGAGTCCCGAGGCCGCTCCCCTCCGGTGGGTGCCTGGCCTGACCCGTGCCCCCTGCTCCCCCAGCCTGGTCAGCTTCCTGGGCCTGCAGCCCATCTGACCACCGAGCAGGCGCCCCATGTCCCCTTGGCCACTCGCACCACCCTTTCAAGCACACTGTGCCAGGCCCGGCCCCGCTTTGGCTCCTGATCCACACAGGCTGCAGGGACAGGCGGACCGTCGGCCCAGGAAGTACAGCCCACTCGGTGCCCTCAGGGCGCCCCTTCCCTGCAGCCCCAGAGCCCTTCCTCTTGGGTCTTTGCTGCTCCTTGCACCGTTCTCCATGCAGACCCTCCACCAAACAGCATTCCCGTTAGCTTGAGGGGCGGCCCACACCCCTGGTCTCAGCCCTCTGCCTCACCGGCTGTGGCCTGAGCTCTCCTGGCCCTGTGCCCCTGCTCCCTGATCCCCGCCGCTCTCCCTCGTCCAGCACCCACAGCCCTGCTCTCAGGCCTCTGGACTCAGCTCCGGGCGGCTGTGCTCTCGGACCCATCTTCTCTGCAGGGCTCACACTGCCCAGTGTCCTTGCGTCTGGCGCCACAGCACAAACGGCCCCTTGCACCCTAGGATCCTTTCCTACTGAAGTGCTCAGCACACACATGGTCCGTTGAGTTCGTAGGCAGGGACCTGACATCCCAGCCCCTGCTCAGCTGCACAGTCTTTGCTCCCCTAAAACCCTGGGAGAGCTCCCTGAATTCCCAGCCCCCTGCTTATTCCCAGAAGCTGTAACCGCTCTCCCAAATCTCTAAGGGCACCCCCTGTCCTCCCAGTGCCCTGCTCATCCCTAGAAGCTCTACCTGCTCCCCTAAAGTTCTTGAGTAACTCTGCCCTCCGAGCCCCCTGCTCAATCTCACAAGCTGTATCTGATCCCCCAAATCTCCAGGGGTTCCCCCTGTCCTCCCAGCTCCCTGCTCACCCTCACAAGCTGTGCCTGCTCCCCCAAAGTACCAGGAGTCCCCCTGTCCTCCCAGCCTCCTGCTCGCCTTTGCAAGCTGTACCTGCTCCCCCAAAGGACCAGGGACACCCCCTGCCCTTCCAGCCCCCTGCTCACCCTCACAAACTGTACCTGCTCCCCCAAAGCACCAGGGGTCCCCCTTGCCCTCCCAGCCCTTGCTCACCCTCATAACCTGTACCTGCTCCCCCAAAGCACCAGGGGCTCCTCCCTGTCCTTCTAGCCCCTGCTCACCCTCACAAGCTGTACCTGCTCTCCCAAAGTACCAGGGGCCCCCTGTCCTCCCAGGCCCTGGTGACCCCCAACAGCTGTACTTACTCCCCCAAAGACCAGAGCATCCCCTGTCCGCCCAGCCTCCTGCTCACCCTCGAAAGCTGTAGCTGCTCCCCCAAAGCACTAGGGACACCCCCTCTCCTCCCATGCCCTGATCACCCCCAAAAGCTGTACCAGTTCCCCCAAAGCATCAGGGGCACCCCCTGCCCTCTCAGTACCTGCTCATTCTCACAAGCTGTACCTGCTCCCCCAAAGCACCAGGAGTCCCCCTGTCCTCCCAGCCTCCTGCTCACCTTTGCAAGCTGTACCTGCTCCCCCAAAGGACCAGGGACACCCCCTGCCCTTCCAGCCCCCTGCTCACCCTCACAAACTGTACCTGCTCCCCCAAAGCACCAGGGGTCCCCCTTGTCCTCCCAGCCCTTGCTCACCCTCATAACCTGTACCTGCTCCCCCAAAGCACCAGGGGCTCCTCCCTGTCCTTCTAGCCCCTGCTCACCCTCACAAGCTGTACCTGCTCCCCCAAATATCCAGGTACACCCTCTGTCCTCCTAGCCTTCAGCTCACCCACAAGCTGTACCTGCTCCCTGAAAACACCAGGGACTCCCCCCTGTACTCAGCCCCCTGCTCACCCACAAGCTGTACCTGCTCCTGAAAGTTCTGTGATGTCTCTGCCCTCCCAGCCACTGTTCACCCACAAATTGTACCTGCTCCCCCAAATCTCCAGGGGCATCTCCTGTTCTCCCAGACCCTGCTCACCCTCACCCTCATAACCTGTACATGCTCCCCCAAAGCACCAGGGGCACCCCCTGCCCTCCAGCCCTTGCTCACCCTCACAAGCTGTACTTGTTCCCCCAAAGCACCAGGGGCTGCCCCCTGTTCTCCCAGCCCCTGCTTACCGTCACAAGCTGTACCTGCTCCCTCAAAGCACCAGGGGTTCCCCCCTGTCCTCCCAGGCCCCTGCTCACCCTCACAAGCTCTACCTGCTCCCCCAAATCTTCAGGTACACCCTCTGTCCTCCCAGCTCCCAGCTTACCTACAAGTTGTACCTGCTCCCCCAAATGTCCAAGGGCACCCCTCTGTATCCCAGCCACCTGCTTAGCCTCACAGGCTGTACTTGCCCCGATAAGCTCTGGGGGTGCCCCTTGTCCTATCTGCCTCCTGCTCACTCCCAGAAGCTCTACCTGCTCCCCTAAAGCTCTTGAGGTACCCTCTGCCCTCCCAGGCCCCTGCTCACCCTCACAGGCTGTACCTGCTCCCCTAGATCTCCAGGTGCACCCCCTGTCCTCCCAGGCCCCTGCTCACCCTCACAGGCTGTACCTGCTCCCCTAGATCTCCAGGTGCACCCCCTGTCCTCCCAGGCCCCTGCTCACCCTCACAGGCTGTACCTGCTCCCCTAGATCTCCAGGTGCACCCCCTGTCCTCCCAGCCACTGCTCACCCTCACAGGCTGTACCTGCTCCCCTAGATGTCCAGGTGCACCCCCTGTCCTCCCAGCCACTGCTCACCCTCACAAGCTCTACGTGCTCCCCCAAATCTCCAGGTACACCCCCTGTCCTTGCAGTCTCCTGCTCCCCCACAAGCTGTACCTGCTCCCCCAGATCTCCAGGTGCACCCCCTGTCCTCCCAGGCCCCTGCTCACCCTCACAAGCTGTACCTGCTCCCCCAAAGCTTTGGGGTTGCTCCCTATTCTCCCAGCCCTCTGCTCACCCTCAGAAGCTCTACCTGTTCCCCCAAATCTTCAGGGGCTCCTCCTGTCCTCCTAGTCCCTGCTCACCCTCACAAGCTGTACCTGCTCCCCCAAAGCTTTGGGATTTCCCCCTGTCCTCCCAGGCCCATACTCACCCACTGAAGCTCTACCTGCTCCCCCAAAGCACCAGGGCATCCCCCTGCTCTCCCAGCCCCTGCTCACCCTCACAAGCTCTACGTGCTCCCCCAAATCTCCAGGGGCTCTCCCCATTCTCCCAGCCCCTGGTCACCCACAAGCTGTACCTGCTCCCCCAGATCTCAGGGGCTCCCCCTGACCTCCCAGCCCCTGCTCACCTGCTGCCTTGCTGTCCCCTGTCCCTGGGCTGCCCCCTCAGCCTCCCCTGCCCCTCTGGTCCCCCTGTGAGCCCTCACGCCTGCCCAGCTCCAGTCCTCACTCCTTTATTTCCTGGGCTCAGCTCTCCTCCCTGGACTTGCCAGGGGCCCCGCGGCCTCCGGGAAGCTCTCCCCTGGAGGCGCTCTGTCCACCTGGGCCCCTCCGCGTGGAGGTCCTGCCCTTGCTCTCCACTCTTCTCTGTCCCTCCACCCACGCCCTCCTCTGGCCCCTTGCTGCCTCCAGTTTTCGGGTCACCTGCCCTCTGCCCAGCTCCCGCTCCTGGTCCTCGGGCTCCATGCTCTGGTCAGCCCGCTGCATCCTGGGGGCTGTGGGCTCAGCCCTGTGCTGCCCGCCGTGGACACAGAGCACGGCCAGCCCGCAGCCCTGTGCCTGGCTCTGCCACTGCGCTCGGCCCCAGCCCAGTCGGGACCAACAGCCACCGCACGTGGCCCTGCCCTGGGACCCACGCCGGCTCCACGGGCCTGTCCAGGAGCCTTCACTGCCCTGGGGTCCTCTCCCTTCCCTGCGTCCTCACATCAGTCCCTCCTTCCATCCCAGCTGGTTGTCCCGCCCACCCAGCCCCGGCCTCCAGAGCACCTGGTCATGCGCAGCCCTCCCCGCCTGTCCCCCAGCCCGTCCTGCTCCTCGACGGCCTGGCAGCCCCCCCCGAGCTCCCCAG